GGCCAAACTTTGTCTCTCATACTTTGGACATATTGTCAGGAGGGACCAGTCGCTGGAAAAGGATATCATGTTTGGTAAGGTGGAGGGTCAGAGAAGAAGAAGAAGACCCCCAACGAGACGGATTGGCCAAGTGGCAGCATCCATGGACTCAAGCATGGCAACAGTAGTGAGGTTGGCCCTGGATCAGTCAGTGTTTCGTTCTGCTGTGCATAAGGTCGCTATGGGTCGGTACCAACTCGATGGCACCTAACAACAACAACAATATTGAATGCTTAAAAAAAAAAAAAAATCACATAGAAGAAAACAATTAAATATAAAATTGACTTCCAGCATTTTCTTCATACCAAAATTGTGAGTCTGAATGTGACAAAATTATTTAAAACTTTACATAGTCAAAATTAGCCAATCAATTCAAGTTTGGCTACTCACACTAACCATTTTAGTTCACTAACATACAGAACAATGAAAAATTTTCTTCTAAATAGCCTCCTACAGACTCTGTGCATTACTTAATTTTTTAAAACCTTGATTTTATAAAATGAAAGATCTTGCTAACTTGGAAAATCCCAGCAAGGATATTGGTATCCACCAAGATAAAATAATTTACCACGGTTAACAAAACGGAACATTTTTGAGCCTAAGAGTTGCATCTCTTGATTCATAGTTCAGCATTTTTTACTCCACTCTATGATTGATTTACTCAGCTGCTAATTCTAGGAGGTGACCTGATTACTGATCCCAGTTCTTTGCTCCTCTCACTATCCATTCTTCCTAAGAAGACTTCTAAGGAAGAAAAACATGACAATTTACCTACTGACCACTGAAACCCTATGAAGAGCACAGGAACGTTATCTATCTGTTATGAGGTCAGAGGATGAGCCCTTCAGGTTGGAAGGCACCCAAAATACAACTGAAGAAGAGTTGCTTCCTCAAAGTAAAGCCAACCAAAATGAAGGTAGTAAAGTTTCTGGGATCTTCATTTGCTGATTGGCATACCTCAAAATGAGAAGTAGCAACTTTAAGCATCCACTAATAACTGGAATGTGGAATGCATGATGTATGACTCAAAATAAAAATTGGAAGTTGTCAAAAATTAAATAGAGCACAAAAAAATAGACATCCTAGTCATTAATGAGATGAAATGGACTGGTATTGACCAATTTGAATCAGAAAGTCATATTGTCTTCTATACTGGGAATGACAAATTAAGAAGTGGTGTCATATTTGTAGTCAAAAAGAACATTTCAAGATCTATCCTGAAGTGCAATGCTATCATTGATAGAATAGTATCCATTTACCAAAATAATATAATTTAATAAGATTATTATTAAAATTTATGTACTAATCGCTAAAGCTAACAATGTTGAAACTGAAACAATCTACTAACTTCTGCAGTCTAAAATTGATCAAACATGCAGTCAAGATGCACTGGTGATTACTGGTGATTGGAATGAAAAAGTTGAAAACAAGATCAGTAATTGGGAAATATGGTGTTGGTGTTAGAAATACTGGTGGAGATTGCATAATTTAACTTTTCAAGACCAAATACGTTTTTTACAGTAACATAAAAGTGACTATACATGTGGACCTCACCAGATGGAACATATAGGAATCAAGTTCACTTCATCTGTAGAAGAGATGGTGGAGAAACCCAATATGATCTGTCAAGGATTCAAGTTGAAACTGAAGAAAATTAAAATAAGTGAACAAAAGCTAAAATGAGTATATCCCACCTGATTTTAGAGATCATCTCAAGAATAAATTTGATGCATTGAACACTAATGCCCGAAGACTAGAGGAGTTAATGGGATGGAATCAAGACCATCAAAAATGGAGAAAGCTAAAGCTTTTAATAGAAAGAGAATAAACTAAAATGGATGTGAGAAGAGACTCCTAAATTTGTTCTAGAATTTAGAGTAGTTAGAAGAAACAGAATAAATAATGAAGCAAAAGAGCTGATAAGAAGACTTCAAAAGGAGCATGAGAAAACTAAGTAATATATGATAATGACTTGTACAAAGACCCAGAGTTAGAATGCCAAAATGGAAAAACATGCTCAGCATAGCTGAGAGGACTGAAGAAAAATTTTAAGCCTCAAATTGCAATACTGAAGAATTCTATAGGGGGAAATATTGAACAATTTAGGAAGCTTCAAAAGAATATGGAAGAAATACATAGTCACCACCACAAAGTATTGGTTGGCATTTCTTTTTGTTGAGGTAGTATATGATCATGAACTGATGGTATTGAAGGAAGATATTCAAATTTCGCTGAAGGCACTGGCAAAAAAATAAAGCTCCAGGAATTGACAGACCACCAATGGAAGTGTTTTAACAAACAGATAAAGCTCCTCTGGAAGTGCTCATTAATAATCTATGTTAAGAAATGTGGAAGACAGCTACCTGTCCGCATTATGAAAAGCCACTTCATAGTTACATATTTGCATACATTAACAAATATCAAGTCACTTCTATTAGTAATGGTTATTGTATAGTTGAAGGGCACACATATTTTGAACTTATTTTATTCATAGATAGGACATATTGCAAATTCTATACGGTAAAATTCATTGCTGTTATTATTGCAAATACTATTATTATATAGTATCGCAACATTTCTAGGATTCGAGTTAATTTGGTTAACCATGCATGGGGATTATAAAGGAAAGGATAGTTATGCTTAGAGAAAATGAGACTTTGAGAATTAAGTACATATACAGAAGTACCATAAGCACTAGACATGAGATTTTAGTATAATATCAATTGAAGAAAAAATCCCTTATATCAGGTCTAGAAGAAAATGAAAACC